ACCTCAGATAACAAAATACTTCTGGCGCCTTTCATCTGAGGATTTCTAGGCACTTCACTGACATTATCTCACAGTAAATGTTACTACTCACATTTTATAGGTGGATAAACTGAGATACCAAGAGATTAAAAGGCTTGCCTAAGAATATAGAATGAGTCAATAATCGGAGCTGGAAATAATGTCATCCAGGATTTCAGGTTCCTTTGTCTATGACCTAATGACAAGGGGCACCTTCCCAAACTCTTAAAATAGAAAAGGAAATCATTTACATGGATTTTCATAAACCTGCCTTAAAAAAAAACACCCTAATACATTCTACCATAATTAAATTTAGCACGTGTATTTCCAGGCAGAATTGCTCCTTGTGAGAGGGAGGTAATTAGAGGAGTTAATTATTGAAGATGGAATCTCTTACTTGTTTCAATGTTTGGTTGTTTCAATAAAACTGACTCAGAGGTTCTGCTCTTGAGTTGTGATGGAATCTCATCATTTTGTCTTCAGTGTTTCCAGTGCTTTTTTTTTTTCTGGGAGAAAAAAAGCCTAGAGATTGTCCCATACCTAGGACCCTTTACAGAATCTGACTGGATCCTGCAAATGTCATGAGACCAAGAGGCACTCATCTTCTGTATAGGCCGAGGATAGGAGAAAAAGAAACCCTTACTTATTACTGGTTCAAGAAGTCTACTCACCATTCCTCTTTAGTAAGGACTTTCTCACAGCTCTTTTTTTTTTATCCTGTCTTGGAAAAAACATGTTTCCATATTCACAAAAATACTGCTTGTTTTAAAAAAAATCATGAGTAAACATACAGTTTAAATGATCTTTGCACCAGATTCTTGGGCTGATGTTAAACTGGAAAAACAGGATAAAAAATGAAGTACTTGAGGTACCGTGTGTAATTAAATGTGAACTCTTAAGTATATTTTTAGATGGAGCATTCAAAAATGAATTCCTTCTTTTCTAAGGCCTGAGGAAAGGATTAAAGATTTCTTTTTTAGCAGTCACTGACAGCAACAGGTCCTAAACCAGTGCAAGGAATAGTATAGCCACATCTCTGGATAGACTCACCCTTTTCAGCACTCACCCTTCTCAAGTCTTTGATGTTACTGGGGGTAAATGCAGCATTCTTAGCTCTAGATATGCAGGCATGGCAAAACTGATTTCCAGATGTTTTCTTTGTGTGAGCATAGACATTTCTTTTATTGTACTCTTTTGTTTTTCACTCTCATGTACAAGGAGATGGATAGGCAGCAAGGGAAGGGAGAAATAAGCTCAATAAACAGGAAGGGTCTTCTTCCAACACCACTAGCCTTTTTTCCCACTACTAGCACACCACTGACTAGCATCTTTTTCAGGTCACTGCTCATTTGCGGTGAAATCCACATACATGCTTACTACCCTCAAACATTTTGGATGCAATGTTGTATATATGAAATAAATAACAATGAAACTGCACACATAGTTCCAATTCAATTCAATGTAGATTAAGCAGCCTAGCATAGTGATACAATGAGGTTCAAGTAAGATAGTGTGTGTGGGAGGGAGGGGGGAAGTGTTCCACTCTATGCTGTTTCAATAATGAAATCACAGAAAACCCAGAATGTAATCACAAGATGTTAAATGTAAGGGAGGGATGATGTAGTTCACCATAAATGTAACCATAGACTCAATCAACCAAACAACAGGCCTAGAATTTAATCACAAAGTGTAAAATAAATGGTAAGGAATTTTCCTATAATATGTGAAATAGGTCCTTAATCAATTTGAGAGATTTTGGAGTGTTTGTCACTGGCTAGAGACAAATGAAGCAGCAGAAGAAACATCTTGCAGACCTTAAACAGCTTGCAAAACTTTGCAGACTTTGAAGCACTATATAAATATCAGTTATTATTATGAGGTACCAAGACATAGTTTTTGACATCAAGGAGCTTACAATCAAGTAAGAAAACATATATATGTTTTAGTCCTAAAGGTTTTTTTTTCTGGTTTCTTTTTTATTCTTTGCTATATGAGACAGCTTGCTGGGGAGGAAAATTAGGATAAATTTGGAAATATGGGCAATATAAAAACAAAACATATAAAAAAAATTTTTAGTACCTGATACAAAATGCCACACATATTTGTATATTATTAAGCTATGCCTTTGTCAGTGTGAGAACACAAAGCTGAAAATTGCTTCTCTTTTTTCCTGAGAGCTAGGGATAGACCCCAGAGGTCACCTAGCCACCATCACCTAACCACCTGTTCCACAAGTGGAAAGACTGAGGCTTAGAGAAATCGAGTGATTGGCCTAGGGGAACACAAGTTTTAAGTTGGAGCCGAGACTGAAACTCAGGTCCTCTGACTCCCAGATCTAAAATTATTCTTTCCACTGAGGCATGTTCTCACTTCCAAGAGAGTTCAAGTTGGAAGGGACTTCTGAGATCACCTACCCTGGCTCCCTCAATAAAGTTACACAAATTAGATTAATTGTTTGTTTTTTTAAATTATAGACCCGTGATTTCATTGATGTAGGTAGCTCCTGGTGAGGGGTCTCCTTCTCTATTAATGCAAATTAACAATTCTTCTGCAATTTATAGTTTTAGAGAGTTGCCTGAGGCTATGAGAGTTTAAGTGATTTGGCCAGGGTCCTCCAGCCAGCATGTGTTAAAGGTAAGTATTGGACCCTGGTCTCCTCTACTCTAGGGCAGGTTCTCTATCCACTACCCTGGAGCCTCCTTTATGGGTCAATGTTATTTGAACATCATCTGGCTTGTTAGAATGGTATGTAGTTAGAATAAAATACTATTTATTTTGTTCAGGCTTTTCAATTCAATTCAATTCATACATTAAAAAATTGCACTTGGTTCTGAAACCAACCAAGTCTACATTACCTCTCCATTCTTTGTCTGATTTTAGCTACCTCTGCTCCCTTTTTATATTTCCCAGACTTTCTGTTAGAGAATGAAGTTGGATTTGCAACTAAATGTTCGCTTGTTCTCATTCAACAGGTGGAGGCACCCAGGCTCAGAATTCCAGGAGCATTTTCAATAACCGATACGCCTCATTAAAACCTGTGGGTCTTCTTTCAGAACTGGCACCCAGCTGCCTCTTTCTATTTTTAGAAGGGTAACACAGATCGCCTGCCAAGAGTTGACTACTTCCCACTGCCTGTTGAAGCAGGGAAAGATCATCCTGCAAAATATGGCCTGGTCTCATTACACATGGCCCCTGGCAGCTTCATATCGTTAAACATTTTCATTTCTTTAGAATTGCAGCTGTCTTGCTAAACGATGTTCCACAACATATTGCATTTTTACCACTTGTTCATATAGACAGTCCTGAAACTTGTATGAACTCATTTTCTAGAAAGCATTTACTCTGCCTATGGTTAAATGAACTGCCATATTTGTTGATTATATTATTTAAAGGAGATGCCAGCAAGGAATCTCAGAATCAGATTTAGAATTAGGAAGAACCTTGGAGATCATTGAGTCTGGTTTCCTCATTTTACGTATAAGGAGACTGAGGCCCCAAAAAATTAGTCCATTGGTGGGGAACCTGTGGCCTCGAGGTCCTCAAGTGCAGCCGTTTGACTGAATCCAAACTTCACAGAACAAATCCCCATAATAAAAGGATTTGTTCTATAAAAGTTGGACTCTATCAAAAGGCTGTACCCAAGGACCTAGAAGGCCTCATGTGGTCCCGAGGCCTCACGTGGTCCCGAGGCCACAGGTTTCCCACCCGGCGTTAGTCACTTGCGCAAGATCACATAAGTAGTAAGGAATAGAACTGCAACTCTGACCCAAGTCTCTTGACTCCAAATCGTACCTTCCCATTTCTTGAAGAAAAGGAGATGCTGCTTTTTTTTTTTCTCACTGCTGACCATTAAATAGAAGAAATCATTGCAGAGATTTGTAAGTACTACATGGAGACTGAATATGGGAAATTCTGATATGTTTAATTTGATGGAAATACTAGATTTCAAAGATATTTTCATAACTACGATTACAATAATCATCAGGAAACTTATCTGTAAGGATCTATGTTCTTACTGATGTCGTACTCCCTCCAGTGATGCATATGGCAACTCATCTGTGCCTACTCATTGTGTGCCTCTCTGGCCCAAATTCTCCCATAGAAGATCCATTATCACAGGCTGAGGACCTTCTTTTTGTTCTACCCATGGCCAGTTTATCTTTGTTTTCCAGTCATACACATATCTGTCTGATGACATCCTTTATGCCACTTCTTGTAGGCAATTCTTCATTTTTAATATGTCTAGGCTTGCTCATCTAATAATACATTTCTCCATGACCCTTTAGGTGACCTTCAGGTTTACTTAAATCCTCTTAGTTCTTCAGAGAATATAGTATTCTGTATCTCAAAGTTGGATAGTATCACTGGAATGATATTACTAAAAACATGGGTCTTTGTTTCAGGGAGAAGCTTGTGGTCATAAAAACATGGTACATTTTCTCAAGAGAAATTTGCCTCACTGTGCTCCCTCTTCAATTCTGGGTCCAGTCCACTGCCCACTTGCAATTTCTGTCCAAAATATTTGTATTTTCTGATCAATGCAATAACCAATCACCATTCCAAAGGTCCAGTGAGGATGTATGCCACCCACCTCCTGGATGTATTGATAGATGAGCTCTATGAATTGTCCATCCAATATCATCTCCTAGTCTGGACAAGAGACACTCTTTATCTTTTTGCCTTAATACTGTGTATACAGTCAAGAAAAATTCCTTGGAGTGATTATGAATCTCATTTAGGAGACTGTAAAGTGTTTTAGGGCTTGATGCAATCAATGGGGGAGAAAAGGGAATAAACCTTTATAAAATGTCTACTGTGTGTCAGGTACTATGTTAAGTACTTTTACATGTCGTATCTCATATGATCCTTACAACAAGCCAGGGAGGTAGATGTTATTATTATACCCATTTTACAGATGAGGAACTAAGGTAAATAGTGATTAAGTCACTTGCCCAGGGTCACACAGCTAGCAAGTGTCTAAGGCCAGATTTGAACTTAGGTCTTCCTGACTCCGGGTCCAGAGTTCTATCCACTGTGCCACTAGGTGCTTCACGTCAACACAATGTCATCTGTGAACAGAAGTGTCCAATGAAATAATCATTTTAAAAATCCTTCATCTGCTTAAATTTATGGTTCATTTAACTAGATTTAGATTTAGAGCATTTGTTAGCCAAGCTCTTCTGCTAAGCAGTTTACAAATATTATCTCATTTGATCCTTACAGCAACTGTGGTAGGTAAGTGCAATTATTATCCTACTATACCTAATTTACAGATGAGGAAACTGAGGCAAAGTGAGGTTAAGTGACTTGCCCAGGGTCACAGAGTTAGTAAGTATTTGAGGTCATATTTGAAACTTACTTCTTCCTGACTCCAAGTCCAAGGCTCTATCCACTGTGCCTCCTAGCTGCCTACATACCAAAAAAAAAAAAAAAAAAATTATAGCAGCTCTTTTTGTAATGGCAAGGAAGAAACTAAGAAACTAATTCGGGAATGACTAAATAGATTATGGTACATGAGTGTTATGGAATGACTGTACCATCAGAAATGACTAAAGTAATCAGTTTAAAGAAACCTGGGAAGAATTGTATGAACTGGTACAGAATGAATTGAACAAAACCTGGAGCTTTTACACAATAATAACAACATTGTAAAGAGAAACAACTTTGAAAGACTTAAGAATTTTGATCAATTCGATGACCAATCACCATTCCAGAAGACCAATGATGAACTAGGATAGGGGCTATATAAATATCAAAAAAGAGATGTTATAAAGATAAAATTGACAAGACTTGGCAATTGACTGAATGTGGAGAATGAGGAAGAAAAAAGAGTTAAAGATGACTCAGAGATTGCAAACTTGGGTGACTGGAAGAGTGGTGATAACCTCAACAGAAATAAGAAAGTTTGGAGGAGGGATGAATTTTGGGGGAATATAATTAGTTCCATTTTAGACATATTAAGTTTGAGATTCTGGGACAGTAGTTGATGTTGCAGTACCAAAGTTCTGGAAAGAAATAGGGACTAGATAGATAGATCTGGAAGATATCCAAATAATAATGAAACCCATAGGAGCAGGTAACTGAAAGGGTAAGGGTTTTTTTTGTTTTTGTTTTGCTTTTTGGTGAGGTAATCAGGGTTAAGAGACTTGCCCAGGGTCTGAGGTCACATCTGAACTCAAGTCCTCTTGATTCCAACGCCAGAGCTCTTATCCACAGCACCACCTAGCTGCCCCAAGGGTAAGGATCTTGAAGACATTTGGGGGAACTAAGAACAAGAGCATAAGTAGTGGGGCTGGTTTTGGCAAGGGGAAGTATCACCTCTTCCTCTGAGACTGAAGCAATGAAATAAAGAATGGGGATGTGTTGAGGTATACAGTAGGGTGGAAGAGGGAAGGAGCCAAATTGCTCTCTAGAGAGGGAAGGAGTGTTGAAGATAGAAGATGTGATGTGATTTACAGTAACTGATTGGGAAAATTTGAGAGTCAATAAGGGAAGAATAAAAGAATTTCTATACAGTAATGAGGGATCATTTGAGATTAGATAATATAAATCTGTAATAGAACCAATCAGCATGGTGGTATACTTTCCCCATTAACATAGAGCTGCATGAGAGTAGAAGTGGAGAAGGTAGATAATGGGAATAACCCAAAGTTGAGGTTTTTGCAAGGTGTGTCTGGCAATAGCAGGTGGGTGCAAGGGATTCAAGGGTAGAGGATAGCATATAATTGATCAGGCTAAACACAGGGTCAAAATAGTGAAGAGTGGGAAGTCATACCAGAGCAGGAATGATTGAGAACAAAGAAGGGATTTAGAAATCTTTCCAAATTGATTTCATATTACCCCCTCACAATGTTCTGGCCAAATTGGTCTACTGACATTTCATGTCCTTTCTTTGCATAGAGTGTCCACCAGATTTAGAAAGAATTCCATCCTCACTTTTGTCTCTGTCGATACCTAGCTTTTAAGGCTCAGCTTGGGTGCTACCTCCTACCCAAGACTCTTCCTGATCCTTCTACGTATTACTACTTCCCTTTCCCCCTTCCCCATTATAATGTTTATAACAGTTTATATATTTTACATATATAAGTTTATATATGTGTGTATATATATATATGTATGTGTATGTATGTGTGTGTGTGTACATCAATTTATCTGTGTTATTTCCCTCCAGAAGAATGTAAGTTTCTTGAGGATAAGGAACATTTTCATTGTTTTCTTTGTATCCTTAGCATCTAGTATAGAGTCTTGCATATGTCCTAGCTCTTTGCCTTACCTACTTGACTAATGGGATAGGAATGTAGTTATCAAACAGGAGGAGGCAGATAAAAAGGGAATGACCAAATCTGTTAGAAAGTGTAACCGCTGGGGCAGAAATGATAGAGCTCGAGTAATCCAAGAAGAGGGAGCTCCAGGACAGGAGAATGCAGTGTGGGTATGGGAAGAGTCTCCATGCCAATGTCTTTCTTTGAGCACACTCCATCACTCTGCTAGCAATGAACAAGCTTCAAGGAATAATTCAGATCCTATATAATTCAGCTGACAAACCAGTTGCTTCAGGAAATGGTCAAAAAGTAGGATTAGAGATCCAAGCCAGTGACAGAGTGCTAAATAAGAAAAATTGTGAGGAAGAATAATCAGTGCCCTGCTGACTGGACACTGACCCTTTGGAAGGCCATGAATGGAAAAGCAGCCAGGAAACAGTGGCTAGCTCCCAAGCAGGAATGGCTGACGTGGGGGGGATGAGTCTAAGCACTTGAAATGTGTCCCTTGAACCACTGGGTCAGGGATATGCCTATAGATTTGTTTAGGATTACCTGGATTTGGGAGGAGCCAGAGGTATACATATGGGAGTTGTTTTAATATATTTGATTTATTCCTTTTGCTCTTTTGATTCTGTGAATTACATTAAGTTAAGCCACCTTTACACGGTCCACGTCATTTTGCCACAATCACATGACCAATGTTTGTTAAAACACAGGATCAAAGAAAGAAAGCAAAGTCTCCCAGTAGGCAGGGGTTGAGCCAAGAAATATAGCAGTGAATTTCACACAGACCCCACTCCTAGACTAACAAGTAGATCTTGTCACCTAGAAAGGCAGTGGAGCTAAAGAATGGAAGTTATCAGCTTTCTGAGAATCACCTGGAGCCTGTTTCTCTTTGATGCTGGATGGAATGTGATTGCTGATTTCTGGTCCTTCTGGTTAAACAGGATCATGTAAGTAGCCAGCAGTGCCCCTTGCTGGTCAGACTCATAGAAGATGCCTAATACATGCTTGTTGAGTGAATGAACCACTAATGCAGGGGAGAGATGGAAGGGTGAGTGGTTATGATCAGTGAAAGGAATTTCAGACTTCTGTATTATAGAGGGAGCATAGTTAAAGATAATGATGAAACCAAAGGCATGAGCATCCCTAAGAATGAATGAGGTGAAATGAAGATGTAGGTAGGTTAGGGGAAGTGAAGTGGTAGAGGAACACTCGAGTATTTGAAGGGACAATGAGGTATGTACTGAAGTCCCTAGCATGAAGGCAGGGATTAGGGTGAAGAGGAAAGCTGTGGGCTAGGTATTAAACATCTTGAAAAAGAAGTTTGTTTTCTTCTCTTTTCTCCTGAAACACAGAGCTGGATTTTATGACATGTCTGGAGAGACCAAATCTCAAACAGAAGTTGCTGAGCAACTATGCCAAAGGGACAATCTGGAAGTGGCATTGAGAAGCAAGAGTTATTCTTATTCCTCTTCAGGTTTCTTTAATTCAAGAAGTTAAAAAGATGGGCAGTGATGAATGGGTGTTTGTTAACAATGGAGTGGAACTTTCTGATGGCACAACAGAATGAAAGGGCAGAGAAAGGTATGGACTCCAGAGGATAGGGTTGAGGTGAATAGAATAGAGATGAGAGTATGAGGAGAAGCAGTAGGGGAGAAAAGTGTTTTCACTTCAATAGATGTCAACTCTGAATCCCAAGGGAAAGGGGAGCAAGAGCTGGGAGTTTTCCCATCATTGTATGGGAGAAGAACCAGTTGATTGGGACCCCTACCCTTCAGTGCCCTGTGATGACCATGCATGGGTCAATAATATGTAATAAACCAAATCAAGATATGAGGAGTATTCTGTTTTCATTTTTCTAAACTGTTCAATAATAGCGTTTCCCTATCTCAAGTTGTTGTTTTGTGGTGTGTTCAGTTGAGCTCTTGCTCAATTTTGGAGAAGTTTGAAGGCTTCCTTGGGGATGCACTGATCAACTGTTAATTCCAACTTCCTATTTACTAAAACGTTTGGTAATTGCAGGGGTTACATGGGACTTTCCATTCTGGGTCAGATCTGTGGTCCGTTCATAAGGCTTCTCATCCTCTTCCCCTTTTTAGATTCAATATCTGTGGTAATTAAGAGTGATGCAATTACAAATGACTTGTAAGCACAGCTAGGGCAACACTTCAAAGAAAGTCAAAGGATGTTCTGCATTATGATATTTCTGACAAGGAATTAAATATCACAGTTGTGTAAGTATCACACAGTATGCTTGTCACTGTATATCATTTCAGGACTATTCATCATGTCTGAATCATGGCCTTAATAATGAGTTGCATCAGTCATGAGTACAGCCAGGAGATTGGTTTTGTTGAGCATTCATTTTTACTGGAAACCTCATCAAGTGAACAGCTGACTTTACTTAGGTACATTCTTACTAAGACAGACAACATAGTGAATAGAGGGCTAGTCTTGGAGTCAGGAAGACACGAGTTCAAATCCTGTCTCTGACATATATTAGTGATGTCTGAGGCAGCAAGTCAGTTTACCTTTCAGCATCCCTGGAAATCCTCTAAGAATATAAATTACAGATGAGTTTCTAATTTGTATCTGTGGACAGTGTTTTCACACCAGGAATTCCCCACACTTATTAATCACCTCCCACCAAGTTTTACTAAATACAACACTGAAGTAAAAAAAGATAAGTAAATGGAATATACAAGTAACAAGAAATAGAACAATTGTGGTTTGCAAAAAAGTACATTTTTCATCCCCTGGAATAAAATACATATATTTTATAGTTATTTTCAAAAGTATTTCAATACTTCAAGGATCTGCAGCTCCATTCACTGATGCAAATTGAAACCTGTTCCATGCTTTAGTAGACAGTTTATTGAACTGAAGTGGTTTAGAAATCATTGCCTGATAACCAAACCCCTGGTGGCTCTCTGAATTTACAATAGCCCTCAGATGATAGGCATACTGTCTGTCACTGGGCTCATACCTGAAGCTTTTTCAAAATGATGGAGCCTATAAGAGCACTGTCATGGCATTTGGGAACTCAGAGTTATCTCCACACTATGATGAAGCTTTGGAGTAAGACTTTAGAGGGAGTTATCCACAATTACTAGTCCTAAATGCTCAATACTATGCCTGCAGTAA